AAAGATGACCAAAGTCCTGTTTTGATGAACACAGGAGGAATCAAACAACAGGAGATAGTGTCTTTGCCCAGAGTTCCAAGCCTCTTTTCTAGCTAGCACTGTTACTAAAATACTCTCTCTCTCTCTCTCTCTCTCTCTCTCAGCTTTTTCTCAGGGTTATGCTACCAGTGCTTCTGTGACTATACAGCCTTCTCTGTCTCCTTTTGTGTTTCTCCCACTTCTCTCACTCAATCCTTTATAATCCATTTGTGAGTGGAGCCTTAATATAAAGTGTGACTACTTTGTTTGTTTTTGTGGGATAGACTGCTGAGGATTTGTCTTTGGCTCTGTAGGCAGAGCCGTCCCTTGGGTAGGGCAAATTGGGGTGACCGCTCTGGGCCCCGCAGTCTGGGGGCCCTGTGGGCTGGTGTGATTGGCAGATGTGGTCGGTCGCAAAAGAGACAAATCCATCACTTCCGCCCCGGGTGCCGCAACCCCCTAGGGACGGCCCTGTCTGTAGGATTGATAAACTCCACATCCATAGGTGAGGTGTCTGTCTGACAATGTAAGGCCATGTCTGCACTACAAAATTAAGTCGACTTAACTTACCTTGGCATGCAGCTTCTGCAGTAATTACATCACTTGTGCGTGTCTACACTGTGCTCCTTGTGTCGACGGTGCATGTCCTTACCAGGAGTGCTTGTATTGATTGTACTGTCAGTGTGGGGCATTGTGGGATGGCTCCTGAAAGCCAGTAACAGTCAACGTAAGTAACACAGTGTCTGTACTGACACTGTCGACCTGAGTACATTGACCTTGACTCTACAGTGCTTATGGAGGTAAAGTTATTGAGTTGGCGTAGCAGGGGAGTTATGTCAGCGGGAATGAAATTTAAATGTAGACACTTCCATAGCACTGGCTACTGCTAGGGCAGTCTCAGGCTGTCGCCCCTTCTCCCCCCAGCAGCAGGAGTTTGGGTGTGGGAGGGGGCTCAGGGCTGGGGGTTGGGGCGCGGGAGGAGGTGAGGGCTGTGGGCAGCGCTTACCTTGGGGGGCACCCTGGAAGTGGCGACATGTCCTTCCCTCAGTTCCCGGCCAATGGGAGCTGTGGAGCCGGCACTTGAGGCAGGGACAGCGTGAGGAGCTAGGAGCTGAGGGAGGGACATGTTGCTGCTTCCGGGGAGCCACGAGGAGCCGGGTAGGGAGCCTGCCAGCCCTGCCCTTCCCAGTGCCAGTGCGGATCCCGAGCTGCATGCCACTGCCCACCCACTCCAGCACCAGCAGGTGTGCCGGGCTGCTCCCCCCCAGCACTTGCAGCACCTCCGGGCTGCCCCCCCAAGCACCTGCAGCACCCCCGGGCTGCCCCCCATATTTCAGAAATGGCTTAGTCTGAGAGTTCTACATTTGCTTTATTAATTTGTCCTAAAAGAGGATGAGAACCTTTCAGCATTTTTTTGAAGGCTTTTGGAGATGTTTGCTCAGTGTGGCACCAATTGTACAATGAAGTGTGCCCATATATGGTGTATATCTGAACCTGCAAGAAGTCCCAAGGGTCCATGTCTAGGCTACAAGAAGGGCTCACAAGCTTGATAAAACCAGAGAGATTCCCCTGGCAGTCTGTAGATGTGGAGCTTGCAAACCCTGCAGGGTCAGAGAGAACTTATGGGGCCAAGTCCCATGCTGTGTTGCCCCACCAGCCCTGAAAATGCTCTAAATCAATCTGACTGCAAACGGATCCTCTGGGTTGGTTATGCAGTGTGATGGTTTATACATATTCTTTCCTTTCATAAACATTCAGACGTATCTCACCTAAACAAAACACCCTTTAAAATAACTCTTTTTCCTTCTTTTAAAACAGAAACCCCAGTGTGTTAGACCAAAAAGAACGGGAGGAGACATTGGCTAAGCTAACAGGAACCAAGAAACACCTTGCCAAGGTGTACTGCATCCTTATTCTTGGACTAGGAATGGCTGAGCAGCATCACATGGCTTGTGGAAAGTAAGGAAATGCACTGAGTAATTTTCCCCATGATGACTCCTCACCAGGTACACTTGTATTGATTGTAGTCAGTGTGGGGCAGTGTGGGATGGCTCCTGAAAGTCCGTAACAGTCGACATAAGCAACATGGTGTCTACACTGACACTGCATTGACCTAACTACATCGACCTTGACTTTACACCGATTGTGGGGGCAATAGTTGCCATTACACCTGACATCCAGCCAGTCCACGCATGGGCCAGGGCCCTCATTTTGGGTATGTCTGCACTGCACTCAGGAGGTATGATTGCAGCAGGTGTAGGCATACCCAAGTCAGCTGTGATCTAGCTAGATCAAACCTAGCTTGAGTAAGAATAGCATTGAAGCCACAGCAGTATGGGTGGCGGCTGTGCCCTGGTGTTCCCAGCGGACAGGGCTAACCTGTGCAGCCTTCCATGTGCTGTGATTTCATTGCTAGTGTTACTCACGCTGGCTTTGAACTCACTTAGATCAAAGGTAACTCAGGTATGTCTAGATGTGCTGCAGTCACATCTCCCACTTGCAGTCTAGCCAGACCTTTTCTTTGACAAAGACAAAAGCCCACAATAATCCAGTCCAAGTGAGCACTGCAGGAGGGAAAGCATTGGCCAGGGCCAAGTGAGCAGCGTGGAAAATGTTATAGACTTTTGTTATAAATAGGAGGCCTGCCAAGTGATTCATAGATTGTAAGGCCAGACAGGACCACTGTGTCCTCTAGTCTGACCTTCTGCATAACACAGGCCATAGGACTGCAACACACTGCAGCGGGGCTTTGGAGACCTGACTTGCAGCTCAGATCCAGCTGTGCAGAAGCCTTGGTGGCTATAGGAGCGATGTGGTATTGAGTGGGTCCAGCACAGGCAACTGGGCAAATGACAGTGCTGACATTAATTGCCATTTCCAAAGCCTCAGAGAAGATTGTGAGGGCAATGTAGCAGGGAGGAGGGAAGGTTAATACCTCTTAGAAGGAGAAAGGTAAACTAATTAATCCATGTAATATACCAGTGCTATGTCACATACCTCCTTGTGATCAGTGAACTGCTATGCACCAGTGTACTATGCTGGCACAGCCCATCCACACTGTTGCTGTCCTGTTGCTGAAGCCTTCTGCTACCTACTTCCATGATCAAGCTGTTCCCCAGTCCCTCCAGATGTAGATTGCCAGTGTGTGCCCCGTATCATGAGGCCCTGAAGCATGAGGAGTAAAGAGCACAGCACAGAACTCCCTGTGCACCCTGGGGTCACAGGATTGTGTGACCAGCACACACAGCATTGTGTGACCAGCTGCTGGATCTCTGGGCAGACTGCAGTTTGGGGTGGTGCTGTAGGGTTGTTTTCATTTTCTTGCTGATTGGACAAGGAGGGTCATGCCAGCATTTTATTTTTCCGGTTGGAGCATAGACTGTAATACAGCTTCAAAGGCTGCAGGTACAAGACCCAATTTGTGCAACGTCTTCTCTGGGCCAGCTAGAGCTACTGGCTCTGAAGAACTAATCTGCTCACTGTCCTTGCTAGGATAAAACTCTCTGGACAAGAAATCAGTGGAACAGGAGCTCTGCCCTACTTACCGAGTCTGCTGCCAGTTCTCTCCCTTCTCTTTCCTGGCAGAGGGAAAGGAGCAGGGTTGTAGCTATATAGAGAGAAGTTAATTAAAAAAAAAAACCTGCAACAATCTGGGTAAAAAGTGAAGAGATGTGAATGAGAATTGTCAATATTATTTAGTATTTACATTACAATTGTGCCCAGAGGCTCTGAAGAGGATCGGGGCCCCACTGTGCCAGACTCTGTAGAAACATAGAGGTAGATGTGGTCCCTGCCTCAAAGAGCTTAGAGTCTAGGGCCTGGTCTACACTACATGGGTAGGTCTACGTAAGCTGCCTTGTGTCAACCTAGCAGTCCAAGCGTCTTATTTTAAATTTGGCTCCCGCCAACATAAAGGCCTCTCCACACTGATTTGGTAACATCACTTTCCTGAGCAGAGTAGAGTCACAGTCGATGTAATTAAGTCGACGCAGTGTCAGTGTAGATACTGTGTAGATACATTGACTGTTACTGGCTTTCAGGAACCGTCCCACAGTGCCCCACACTGACCATACAATGGATACAAGCGCTCCCAGTGAGGATGCGCAGCACCAACACAAGGAGCAAGTGTGCACGCTCACAAGCGATTTAATAACTGTGGTGGTTGTGCGCCAATGTAAATTAGGTCGACCTAATTTTGTAGTATAGACATGGCCTAAGAAGACAAACAATATAGGAAGGGTGGGAAGAGGGACGAGAGGCAATCAAGTATATTCATTATGGGTGGGATTTTCAATTGAGTTCAAAGGGCATAGACGTAGGCCAATGCTGAGTGCTTTTGAAACTATCTATCTATCTATCTATCTATCTATCTATCTATCTATCTATGTAATCTAAAGTAAGGGTGGCATTTTCAAAAGCGCTCAGCTTTGGCCTACCTCTGCTCCCATTGAAGGCAACTGAAAAGCCAACACACCATGAATGTATTTGATTCTATCCATCCATCCACCTGTGAAAGATACAAACATGTTTTGCAATTACATAAATAATATATAAACTTTCCCAAATTGACTTAGATTAGCATTGAAATGGCTGAATGGTCACTGGGAATTCCATAGGCTGCCTAAAACAAATGTGATTGTGTCACACTGATCAACATTTACTAATTATTGGAGCTGGTTGAGAATTTTTCAATTCAGTGTTTTTGTTAGAAAATACTGATTCTTTGAAACTATTTATGGGACAGGGTCAGTTTCCACTAATTTCTCGATTTGAAAAACTTCTGCGGAAAAAAAGTGCTGAAATTGCTAAAATGGTACACTTCAGCATTTTTTAAATGACAACATTTGTTGCTTTGGTTCCATATGATTTTTCAGTTAGAAATCTAAGCTAATTATATATATTTTTTAATTAAAAATGCAAAAAAGGTCAAAACCGAAACATTTCAAAAAGATTGAAATGAAATGTTTCAACTGACCCCAAGCCTGATTGTTTCTCAGTTTGTTGGTTTGTGACAATTTTTGAGATTTCGACTTTTTGTCCCAATTTGGAATGGGAATTTTTTTTTTGAAATCTCAACATTTTTCCAGGGATGGGAAAAGCATTTCCCACCCAGCTGTACTATAATTATTCCTACCCAGCTGTTAAGTTATTAATTGTTCCTGTGAAGTTTTCTCCAAGGGTTTAGAAAGGAGTCTATTCTGGAGGAAGAGTAGCGTGAGGCTTCAAATGGTATCCACATGCAACTTAATAATGATTGAAATGTTTGTGAAGCGCAGCTTAGGAGTCCTGTTTTGATGTTATCTCAGACTGTGTTTTGAGGAGTTCCCCAGCAAACCTATTTGTGTGTATGAGCTCTAGTTCTTTTATGTCTCCAACCCTGAGGAAGAAATAGGTGTGTCTAGCTTTCTCCTCTGAAACTGCTGGGACAGATTGTGCAATTTTTTTTATAGTGCCAATTTCCTTCTGGGCATTTTGTCATAATGGGAAAAAATAGGTTGTGTCCCCAGAGCTGCATACATTACTTACACAAATATGGCTAAAGCGGGGCCCCACTTGAAGTCTGAGGCAGGACTCACCCGGACCTTGTTGTGGTCCCTGGTCCATAAAACACATAGCTGTGGATCAGAGAGCTGCTAAAATGGCCTATGAAGCATTTATTTTCAGTTGCATCCACATGCAGGATGCAGGGTCCTATAAAAGTTAGAGAACATTGTGTTTTCATAAGCATACACGCCTCTGCTTAATGTAGCATCTGGGTTTGGCTACGCTTTCCTCCACTATGTCTAATGCGTTCATTTCTGCAGACTCACTGGCAGTTCTACAAACTCCTTCTGACTGGGTTTCTGGTGCACGGGATGCACTTCACTCACTTAGCCATTCACATGTTTCTTACAATGCCCCCTACTGAGCTTGTTGAAGTTTACCTTTTTCCTAACTCCGTCATCATTTTCTTAGCTAATGAGTAAGAGTGCACCAAACTCAGGAACTAAAGTCTCCCATTAACTTTAGGAAGTTTTACCTTGAGCAGTTTTCTTGGGTTTACCTCCCCCTGCATGGTTAGCATTGGAAGGGAGAGGGATGGAGACCACAGCCCTGCTGGGCTCCAGTTGAAAGGCTATTTTCTGTCAATCTTTCATTTAGAGTGGTTGGGTTTCCTAGAATGCAGAAAGCAGTTGGAGGATTTTGTCATTAAGGGACTGCACAAGCTGCATCGTGCTAAAAGGTGAAATCAGCTCTTAAGGGGTCATTTTACTTAATCCACTGTTAGATTTCATGATTATAATGTTCGTGGCTGATAGCGCATTACAGGTACTGATGAGCAACAAAATACATTGAAGTGCATTTAGAATTCCGCAGTGACAATGGGCCACGTTGCTTGGCCACTGTTAAGCTCAGGGACTCCTACCCTTCCCATGCTGAAGGGAGTCAGTGCCTCTGTGCCATCATCTCTCCTTACCTTGAACCCTGCATAGCACGTAGGGTTTGGGATCTGCAGCTGGGGAGGTGTCAGGTTTGGGGAAAGAGGGCAGAGGAATGGAGTGGGGCTAGGAGGGAGGCACATCTTTCCCCTGGCCAGTAAAAAAGCCAGTGAACAATTCATGCAGCCTAGAGCATATCACTTTTGCTCTCCCCTCTGTACAGAGGTTTCTGGGTGCAGTGGCAGCTGGGGAAGCCCTGGTTGTGTGGAACAATTGGCGCTGCACTGTTGGGAAACCAGGGAAAGCTACAGTGGCCCTGAGTGCTGGCATGGAGGCACAGAGCCTCTTGCACATCCCTTAGGATCTACCCAGGTCCTGCAGGAATCTGTAGGGCCTGGATTAGGGGGGAAATTGCTCCCCATTCCATGGGAGCAAAGTCTGCCCCCTTGCAGAATGATTGAATGGCTCTTCGTAGGTGGGGGTTCTGCCTTCCAGATCTACAGGTATGTCCACGGCCCGGTGTCCCAAACGCTTGGCACAAGTGTGAATCAGATCGATGTACTTCCAGAGCAAGCCTTTCATGAGGAACGCTACCGTTACTTTAACAGAGGCCGTTCTCCTAAAGCTTTGTCATTCTTCTGCGAGTTTTACATTTCCTCTCTGAGTCCCAGAAATCCTCTCCCTTCCATGTCTCCTGTATCGTCTCTCAGCTTTGAGCTCCCATCCTGGCTATGCCCCCATTGAAGTCAATGAGAGTTTTTCCATCGACTGTGAAATTAGACCAAGGCTGAGTATTTTTTAAAATCCCACCCACAGGGCCCAATCTTAATAGAGACAGAACCCAAAACTCTATTGGAAATTAATAGGAGCCTCAGGTATGGTATCATCTATCATCAACTATCAGGCCCATGACATTTGGTCTCTGGACGATTGAATTAGCTAAGCCACATAGTGTGGTGCATTTTCTTTCTTTTCTTTCTGAGTCAGTCCAGAAATCCTGCCTTTCTCTTGGACACTGGGCCTCTGCATTGCTGGTAAAGATGGTTGCTCAGCAACCAGCCTTACGGTGCTGGTGAAATGTCAGCTTGGTGGTAGCCATCTGATTTGTGTCCAGTATGCTGTTCAGAGACTTGAAAGCATAACTCCGGCTATTAACTTTTTGCTATTGTTGATTGTCTTAGGAGAAAAACATCATCATCACAGAAGGACCGAGAGTTCTTTGAGGTAAGAAAGAGACATTTGTGGATAGACGCTGAGATTTTTCGCTAATCCTAGAATAAGATGAAATGAGGAAGCGTCAGAAATGGTAACTGCCCTGGGTTCAAGATATTGGGCGAGATCATCAGCTGGTGTAAGCTGATTTAGCTCTGTGGAAGTCAGTGGTGTAAATCAGTATGGCTTCCGCTGAGGCTCTGGGCCAGGATACCTAGTGGTGGAGAAAGCAGTGAGTTGCTTAAATTGTCACTAACACACACTTCCTCAGAATTGTTCCTGCTGAGACAAGACACTGAGAAAGTGGGTCAGCCACCAATTTTGTCCTGTGTTTTACACCACTTGGTGTGCTCTTTTACTCAAATTTTGAAGGCCTCCGTGTTGTTCCTCATTGTCTCTACAGAAAATAAAACAAAGCAGCTCAAAATCTTCATGAGCAACCCTACAGTAACAAAGCAGTTTGCATGTGATGAAAGGAAAAAAATCAGCAAGAAAATAGAGTTCAGTTTGAAACTTCCATTCGGGTTAAATCCAAAGTTCACAATTGCAGCCGTGAGCCTAGCACTGTGTGATTCAGAAATGTAACAGTCTTAAAGACGACAGTAACATATCCCATCATTCACAGTAATGTTTCTAGATGTCAATGCAGGAATAGCTCCGTGAACAGGTTTTGACAGTTCATTTCCAGATACCATACTTCACCAGATTCATAGAAAACATTTGAAACCAATACGATATTTTGGACTCCAGTGGATTGTAATGTGCTTACTTAGGGCTTGTCCACACCTGAAACGCTACAGCGGCACAGCTGCGGAGCTGTAGCACTTCTGTGTAGACGCTATCTACACCAACCCGACAATATAGTTAATCCACCTCCCCGACAGGCTGTTACTAGGTTGACAGAAGAATTCTTCCATCAGCCTAGTGCTGTCTATACCAGAGGTTAGGTCGGCACAGCTACAACCCAGCGGTGTGGATTTTTCCCACTGGAGAGATGTAGCTATAGCTACGTACGTTTCTGGCCTAGACCAACTCTTAGCAGAAATTCTATGTAATGGGGACACGTTCAGCCTGTGGCAAGTATCCCTGGTATTTAACCAGGCGCTAACTAGGTGAACATCTAAGCTTTGGCCTTTTAATACTGAAGTTGCCAAGCAAGGATGAGATGCGGTGATCTCATTTCTTGTAGTAGTATTCGGTATGTAATTTCATTTCCAGTCTTCTCGATACATTTTTATAAAGTAATGTCCTGTTCACCACTTAATCCCTATGACATTGCAGTGACTCAGTGTGGGGAGACACTACTGTTCCCAACTGAAACACAAGCAGACTGAACAGGATTCAGGGTGTTTGGTTCTAAAAATGGCCATCGGTCCTGGGAAGTGTCACATTAAGACACATTCTACTGTGCCACAAGTCTCTACTGTAAAGAATATGCTGTGATACTGGGTCATATTCTATGCTGATGTATCTCTGTTGACGTCAGTGGAGTTACGCCAGCAGATAACTTGGGCCTCCCCTTTGTATGCTGTGGCTTTCTCTGTAGCACAGCCGTATTCCGTAAGATTGGGCTCTGTTTCTGTTTAGTGCTTCTACAACTTCTGTACATACGTGGCCTGGGTGGTGTTCAGACGGAAGCACTTCCAAGAGATTCAGGAAGAAGTGGGCAGGCTTCTTCGCTCTGACATATTTAACCCCGCGTTGAGAGAAAAGAACAGCCCCAACCTGCAGAAAACAGATGTCTCTGCCGATCAGAGGAAAGTTATCTTTCCCTATCACAGGTACCACTCCTTGCTTGTTATCCTGGCACATAGGGGAGCTCGCACTGCACCACTGGGATCAAACTAAAGCCCATTTGTTCTTTCTGAAGGAGTGTATATGCCAGACGCCCAGCGATAAAGAGCGTCGTTGGCCAGCGCTCGCCGGTGCTCAGTACGCTACTGCCCCTGCCCAAAGACAACGCTCAGTATCTCTTCCAGACCCATTACCTGCATCGGGGCAGAACCCTTCCAACCTGCAGCAGCAAGGACCTGCCGGACTACTCAACTGTTGAGCTTACACCCAAGTAAGGAGCTGTTTCCGTGGCTGTTGGCTGTATTTCTGCAAGGGATGGTTGACACTTAAGGCTCCTGACTCCATGTTGCTTCCCAGACCCAGCAGGACCACTGTAGTCCCACTGGATGGTGGGAAAACAGGATTTGGGGACTTAATTGGTGCATGATCCCTGTGCACATAGGCAAAGTTTTCCCTCAGGGTAATGCCTGACCCAACAAAAGATAAAGTTCTTTGCAATTTTCTATGTAAAGCTGCAAATTCCATGCCCCACCCCAGTTTTCCTTAGCCCTGGTGCTTCAGTTACATCAATGACTCCTTTTGAAACAGGGTTGGCATCATTGGAGCCCTTCGCAGCAAGTTTAATCCCCACACTCTCATGCCTATTGGGGTGATAGAGGAGGAGGAGGAGGAGAAGGAGGAAGAACAAAGAACAAAGAGAAACAGTTTCTTAGCCAGTTCATATGACCTGGCTTTGTCGTCCCACAGAGGCACCCAAGTTGCAATCAGTCGCCCGAGCATGGTACTCTCAAGAGCAACTACGGAGGGGGACTACTCTGAGAATGGTTAATAGAAATGGCGCCCTCTAGCATTGAGGGTAATTCTAGCATGAGTTAAGTAAACCACTTTGAAGCTTCATGTTTAAGAGCAGAGGCCATTTGTTACAGGTAGTGCAGCCTAGTGAATAGGGCACTGGACTAGGACTAGGATTTAGGTTCTGTTCCCAGCTTGGCCACTGACTTGCTGTGTGACCTTGGGCAAGTTATTTCCCCCCACTTAGTGCCTCAGTTTCCTCATCTGTAAAATGGGAATAATGAGACTGACTCCCTCTGTAAAGCATTTTGAGATCTATGGACCAAAAGAGCGAGGTATGATTATTATTTATTCCTTTAAAATTTGCATTGCGAGAAGATTCCTAGAAGGATTAAAAGTTCTGGAATTGATGGTTTTACGGGAATTTCCTCTTACATGTTTAATATATTATGTTTACGCATTTTTGATTTCCAGAGTGTTTCACTGGGCTTTGCACATATGCATCTCTCCATACTAATGCATGACAGATGTTGCTAAATGAATAGCAAAGATGAATACCACTCTTTAAAGATATGGGGCAGATCCTCAGTTGTTGTAAATCAGTGTTGCTACACTGAAATCAAAGGAGTGATGCTGATTTACTCCAGATGCGGAGCTAGCCTGCAGTATTTATTATATAGCATTTCTCTCTCATCTTTCACTTTCACCAGTGGAGGAAAATAGGTCCTAGAATTCAAAACATCAATTCTTGGAAAGTCTTGGATTCTGTGACTTTCAGAGTCCTCCGTGACATTTTCCGCTTCAGCTCTGGGACGGCGGGGCTGGAGCTCCCAGCCATCATGGGGACCCTGCAGCTCCAAACTGCCAGCCACAGAGCTCTGAGGGACTACAGATGGTGCGGGCCAGAGTTCCCAGCCTTCCCAGCCACCATGGGTGGCGGGGGCCCCCAGGGCTTCCAGCTGCCGGCCCCGGAGCTCCCAGCTGCCCCAGGCAGCAGGAGCCCCACAGCTCCCAACCGCTGCAGGTTCCCTGGAGCTCCCAGCTGCCGGAGCTGCAGTGGGGGCTCAGGAGCTGTCAGCTGCAGTGGCAGGTGTTGGACCCCTCTTCCCACAGCAGGGGTTGGGCTTCAGTCATCCCCTTCCCCATGGGGCTCAGTCAGCCTCCAGTCAGGCCCGCCCCCCTTATCTTTAGTAAAAGTCACAGACAGTTCATGGGCTTCCGTGAATTTTTGTTTATTGCCCGTGACCTGTCCGTGACTTTTACTAAAAATAACCATGACAAAATCTTAACCTTAGTCATAAGAAATTACAAGGGTTTACCTATAAAACTGTCCGTATTCTGTTACCATTACCATTAGCAGAAAACCCTGGTGAAATCCTGGCCCTTTTGAAGTCAATGGGAATTTTACCATTGATTTCAATGGGACCTGCATTTCACCCCCTTGGCTCTAACAATGAAAGAAAACCAAAGACAGGTAGAGTTTTCTGAGAGCCGAGAAGAAAACTTTAACATCTCAGTGTATTGTTTAAAATGCTATCTATGGGACCGCTACGATCTCCTCATGTACATAGATGTTGAATGCGACGTGCTTTGTTCAGAACAAACACTTCTATATTATGCATTTCTGCACTGGTTTAGGGAGGGCAAGTTAGTGAGAAGACAAATACACAAGAATCAGATATGGGCCTAAGTAAATGTCCTTTTCTCATGAAAAACAGATTGCTGCTAGTATATATAGCAGAAGTTCCAAACACCTGGCCCCCCACTGATGTATTTATCTCATCCTCATAACCTTCAGGTTTTGCCAATATTAAAGTTTTATTTTTAGAAAATAATCAGTAAAGTAAGATTGCATCGTGTGTAACATGACCTTAATGCTCTCACATATGGCCTGAAAAATAGCACTGAGAGGAGGCTGGATATCTCACTGATCAGAGTCCAATGATGACACTTCAAGGGCTAGATTTTCTAAAAACTTGGTAGGGCCAGTGCACATACAAAATGCACATACTGCTTGGTTTTGGGAGTCTCCAAAGTCCTCTATGTGGTGTATTGAGAACTGTATTGAAATTGTAGGTTGTCACTTTAAATGGATTTTCCTGGTCCTGCTTGCAGACTAGGGGTTTCTGTAAGGAAGCATGTGATCTGGGTCTAGCAGCAGTCAGTCTGGAGGCAGACAGTCTATAGTAAGGTGAGGTGAATTGTGCCTCACTTCCTTAGGGAGCAGTCTGATTTCTTTCTGGTTTGGGGCTCTTATATGTTATCATTCTGAATTCTAAGAAATAAAGCTGTTTTTTGCAACCTTTCAGCAAGAGTATTTATGTGTTTATCTAACCTCTCTGTGTGTATGCTGTGAACATAGCACCCTACAGCACTTTTCCCCCACTGCATTGATGCAGCACAAATTAGGCCAACTAGTAGGAGTTTGGTGACTACAGAAGGGTTTTCTTCTCTTGATCTGTGCAGAAACCTCCCATTGACCCCAGTGAGAACCCTGCATGGACTGAGGGGTGTACATGGCCCCAGCTTTCTAGCTACAGCCCATGTCCCTGAATTAAAAATGCAATTTGCCCCATCCCCAGAATGAGTCTGATAACCCAATACATTATATATTGGCTTTCCTCAGGGCCAGACATTGCCTACCACATGCAAATTAGACAAATTAGAAAAATGGTCTGAAATCAACATGATGAAATTCAATAACGACAGGTCCAAAGTACTTTACCTAGGAAGGAGAAATCAAATACACAACTACAAGATGGGGAATAACTGGCTAAGTGGTAGTACTTCTGAAGAGGATCTGGGGGTTAGAGTGGATTACAAATTGAATATGAGTCAATAATGTGATGGAGTTGTGACCACAAGGAGGGATAGCTCAGTGGTTTCAGCATTGGCTTGTTAAACCCAAGGTTGTGAGTTCAATCCTGGAGGGGGCCACTTAAGGATCTAGGGCCAAATTTGTACTTGGTCCTGCTAGTGAAGGCAGGGGGCTGGACTTCATGACCTTTCAGGGTCCCTTCCAGTTCTATGAGATAGGTATATCTCCATATATTATATTATCATTCTGGGGTGTATTGACAGGGGAGGTAATTGTCCCGCTCTACTGTGCAGGGGAAGCCTCCACTGGAGTAGTGTGTACAATTCTGGGCACCACACTTGGGGAAAGATGTGAACAAATTGAAGAGTCCAGAGGAGAGCAACAACAATGATAAAAGGTTTCGAAAACCTGACCTGTGAGGAAAGGTTAAAAAGACTGGGCATGTTTAGCCTGGAGAAAAGAAGACTGAGCGGGGACCTGACAGCAGACTTCAAATATGTTAAGGGCTGTTATAAAGCGGTGTGTGATCAGTTGCTCTCCATGTCCCCTGAAGGCAGGACAAGACATAATGGGCTTAATCTGCAGCAAGGGAGTGTCACACGGTAGCTGATTCCTGTAGCTAGACTGAGCCCAGCTCTCCTGGACTAGAGCTGGGGAGTCCAATCCAGTCAATTAAAGAGAGCTGGGCTACACCCGGGCCTATGAAGGGCTGCTGGTGGGTGAGATTAGCTGTGCCCTGGGGAGGGAAAGCCACACTGGAGTGGTGCGAACCCCTGTGGTGGGTCCCCTGGAGCAAGGGGGCCAGTTGCTCAGGGGGACAACCCTGAAGCTGCTGCCCCAGAGAGGGAGCAGGACTGGTACCTGGCCAGACCTGGGAACCTGCCTGAGGCTCCTGAGGGGGGTGGAGCTAAAACCTGAAAGTAAGAACTGAGTTATGACTGTCTTTCTGCTTGCTTATGTGCTTTTATTAAGAAAATAAGCCTCCTTGAAAGAGACTGGGCACGGCAGTGGATACTTTGGAGCTAGGGAGAAGCCTGGCCCAGTGACAGGGAGATTTAGGTTAGATATTGGGAAAATTTCCTAACTATAAGGGTAGTTAAGATCTGGCATAGGATTCCAAGGAAGGTTGTGGCATCCCCAGCACTTTTAAGAACAGGTTGGACAAACACCAGTCATGGATGGTCTAGGTTTACTTGGTCCTGCCACAGCGCAAGGGGATGGACTAGTTAACCTCTTGAGTTTCCTTCCAGCCCTACATTTCTATGAGTCTCAAAATCAATTGATGTATCTGCTACTGAATTGTAGAGGTGAGAGAGGTTCTCTTACAGCTATTCACACACATAGCAGGTGCCAGGCAATCCCTTTGGCCTGTGTGGGAGAACCAGCTTCATCAATCAAGCCAGTGGTGAATAATCTCTGGCCATGGAGTACTGAGAAATAAGTGGCCATTCCAGCAAGTGCTTTCCGAAGGCAAAGGGAGGATCTGGAACAGTCATACTCAGTTAATTCTGCCTGTGAGGCCTCTCCCATTGAACTCACGGCTTCTTTCAGATCGAATTGTGTGGCACTCCTGGGAAACAAACTGTTGCAGGAACTCACAGGGTGAAATCTGTGGTTTGCAAATCAGGCTAAATGGTCCTGAGGCTCCCTTCTGGCCGAAAACCCTAGGAAAACATAAATCCAGCCCTTACAGAGGGATTTGGGCCTGATATTTTATGGTAATCTCTTAAACAATCTGGTGCTTTCTGGAATGGACTGAGAAATCCCAACACTCAGATTCTTTAGTCAGCAGGATGCTTACCAGAGCCTGCAGGTAGACTGAAAGCTTGCTCAGTCAGAGGAGACTCATATTATCTTGGAGGAAGCGGAGTTCGATGTGTCTTACACAGGCAATCCAAGCTTGTTTAAGCATGTCAGCAGGCCCCTGCAGGCCTGCCCCACATGACAGTGAATCAGACTTCCAACAGGAGAGAGTGAGTCAGAAAGGGCACTTGAGAAGCTTAATTCATCAAGCCCTTTCTGTTCTGCCCAGGAGAATTTCACTCAGAAATATCCACCCTTGATAATGATATGGTAGAGCCAGGAGTCATGAAACATTGCTCCTGGCTTTCCGCACAGACTCTGCGTGTAGTTTGCATCAGGGAATTACAGCAGGTTGGTGGCTTCCATGAATGTGTTTTTAAAAAAGCGAACCCCAAACTAGTTATGTGTCTTGGAATAAAAACCACATGAGCCAGATTTCCTGTATGAAGTACAAGAACAAATGTCCATAGATGGTAAAAACAGACAGACGTGTTCATTATAACCACAGGGTTCGGTGCCATGACTTCTATTGTGTTACCACGTGCTTCACTTCCTCATGGCTGCTTTGTACATTCCTGTTATTTAGCATGGCTAGCTGCATGGCCCAGCGTCTTGACAGGCTTTTTACAAAGACTCTTCCATTCATCTGCACCATATAGGGGATGTCAGCCATTCCACTGTAAGCAGCTATTTTTAGACATTTATAACTGTGCTGTATAAATTCATGCCAGGCAGAAACTTGGCAGAAACAGTCTCAGCTCCGAAGCCAGTTTGTAAGAGAGAGAAAGTAATCTGGCCATTGGTTAGGTCTCAACTCCAACCCTCAGCGGTTAGTGGCTTCCATTGGGAGGCAGGTGGGAATGGTGGGGTTATCATAGTCAGTAGCTTGTGTGAATCAAGAGGTAGAAAGAAGTGAGGGAGTCTGAGGCCTTGCTAGCCACTGGGGGCCAATCCTGCCCACCCTCCTTTCACAGATGAGGACTACAGTCATGGATTTGGGGAGCCAGCACAGGAGGCCTGCACCCTCTTCATGCTGAGGATCAGAGGTCCACGTGGATCGGCACCTCGAAACGTAGGAACTGCCATATTGGATCAGAGTGTGGTCCATCTTGTCTAATCGCCTGTCTCTGACAGTGCCTAGCACCAGCTGCATCAGAGGAAGGTGTAGAGACTCTGGATCAACTGGCCATTTCACTGTGCAAGAGGAAGCCCCGCAGCAGGAAAAACACAGCAGGAAGCACTGCTATTTGCAATCCAGAGGTTGTAGCAGCCGCTGCAGATAGGCAGAAAAATTCACCAGCTCCAGACTCAAGGATTTCCCCAGCACCCAGCTTGAAGCAATATTGATTGTTTGTGGCTGAATCCTCAGGAAAAAGGCCCCCTGGAAATGAGCCTAAGATAGAATGAGCACTTCAGAAGAGTTGCAGCTGTGTTGTTCCCAGGATATCAGAGACAAGGTGGGTCAGGTAATATCTTTTATTGGACTAATTTCACCTGGAATGTCTTGCAACATGCATTCACTCCTTATCTGTTCCACCCTTGTATTTATCTGTTTACCTGAATACCTTTCCCAGCCTTGGAGAAGAGTTCCGTGCAGCTCGAAAACTCATGTCTTTCACCATCAGACGTTGGTCCAATAAAAGACATGATCTCACCCACCTTGTGTGTCTACTTCAGAAGAGCAATTTTTTGACTTTTGAACACTCCAATGGCACAAAACATCTTGTAGCAAAAGGCTTTCTGGTATTTTAGGGGACAAAAAGCCCACCCCTAGACTTGCTCAGAGATTTTTCATCCTCTGCAAAATCAGAAATCCTAGAATTTTCTTTTGTTACTATCTGTGTGAATTTAGTGCAGGTAAAATGTGCCAGTTCCTCTATTTCCCCACAGATTAGCTACACCATAGGCAGCAGCAGCAGCGTTCCCACACGCTGCCCAGACAGTGTGCCTTGACCTGACCTGGAGGGACCTTCCTAGGGCAAGAAAATATTGGGTAATCTCCATGTCCATTCAGTTCTTGCCCTTTCTTGCTGATAGTACCACCCAGGGGCAGGTGCCAGCTGAGGGGTGGTGGTCTCTCTGATGTGGACACCTGTCTGCTGGGAGCTGGAGTGAGACCACCAATTGGATTTCACACTTTTTTGACTTTTTGTGATTACCAAATCAGGTGGGAATTTAACTGGTGACCTAAGGCAGAGGGTCTCAACCAGGGTTCTGGGGACCTGGGTGACCATGAGCAGGCTTCAGGGGGTCAACCGAGCGCTAGACTCACTGGGGCCCAGAGTGGAAAGCTGAAGCCCCACTGCATGGGTCTGAAGCCCAGGGCCCTGAACTCTGTCACTCGGGGTTGAAGCTGAAGCCTGAGCAAAGTAGCTTCGTGGGGCCCCCTGTGGCGTGAGGCTCCAGGCAACTGCCCTGTTTGCTACCCCCAAACGCTGACCCTGGCTTTTATATGCAGAAAAACAGTTGTTGTGGCACAGGTGGGCTGTGGAGTTTTTATAGCATGTTAAGGGGGGGCCTCAGAGAGAAAAAGGTTGAGAACCCCTGGCCTGAGGGGTGAAAGCTGCTGAATGCCTTTGTCTTTCCCTGGACCAGCTAGTGCCTTACTCACCCCTCGTTGGAGGCTATTTGCTCACCAAATGTTTTTGTTTCACTCCCCTTTTCCCTTGCTTGGAAAAGGAAGCAGCCTCTGCATCCCTGCTGAAGCTCTGAAGATCCTTTCAGTTCCTCCTGTTTGCCTTTCTCTCCCCATTTCCATGCTGCCTTTCCACAGTCGAGGCTAACACTGCACCTACCATCCTACCACCCAAGGAGAACGGATGGTGGCTCCCCTTAATCATTGGGAATGGGCACTATTGAATGACATGAGCTGCTTCCTCTCTATTGCATGATGTGCTTGCTGCTTCTGTAGTCCTCCTGACTCAAAGTACAGTGAGAAATTCAACCCAGGAGCAGCTTGAGGCAGGAATAGGGTTGCCAGGTGCCTGGTTTTCGACCGGAATGCCTAGTCAAAAAGGGACCCTGGCGGCTCCAGTCAGCACTGCTGACCAGGCCATTAAAAGTCCGGTCGGCAGTGCAGTGGGAGCCCGGGGCTAAGGCAGGCTCCCTGCCTTCCCTAGCTTTGCGCGGCTCCCAGAAGCAGACACCAGGTCTCTGCAGCCCCTAGATGTATTGGTGGCCAGGGAGGCTCCGAGTGCTGCCCCTGCCCCGAGGGCCGGCTCCA